TCAAACATTGACTCACTTAAGGGGCCGCATCAGCCACCCCACCCCAAAGGGCCGGGGTGCCGCCCCTTGAAAAGTGCCGCCCCAAGCACATGCTTGGAACGCTGGTGCCTAGAGCTCTCCTGTCCTCTCCTGACACTTTCAAGTCACTGGCAGAGTATTGCCGACCCCTAATGTTCAAAAATCAAGAATGAGACTCACCAAAAATCATGAGATTGGCTTTAAAATAATGAGCTTATATAAAAAAAAATAATAGATTTGGTGGGGTTTTTTTACATTCTGCTTTTTGAGTCTTTAAGGTGCACTGGGGTCACATTTTGAAGCTTTCTCCACAGACACAAGAGCTGGAAAAGTCATTGTTCTTTAAGAATGAAGGCTGAAATCATCACATCTCACTTGACTCCAGGTGCCGGGGTTTTAAGGAAAACAATATTTATCATGAGACTCACGACAAACTCATGAGAGTTGGGAACACAGCTTTCACTTCTGTTGAAAGGCTCGTTACTTTCCAGAAGTGTCTTAAATACAACACCCACCGCCCATGGACTTCCTGTCTGACCTCAGGTCAGCGCCTTAGGGACAGAATCTTAAGGCTTTTAGGCACCCAAAGCTGCATCCAGGCATCCAGTGGGGTTTACAAAGCACCGAACCTTCTAGGCGCTTTTGAAAATCCCACTCGGTGCCTAAATACCTGTGAAAGTCTGACTGTGTGTGCCTCAGTGCCCATCTGTACAATGGGGAGAACAGCACAGCTCTGCCTCACCCAGGGGCTGTGATGTGAGGTGCTCAGATACTGCGGTGATGGGGCCACATCAGTACCACAGGTAGCGTGGGAACTTCTCTGTGCCACTGCTAGTCCTGCCCTGGGGTTCGGCCCCTTCTTTTCACCTATGCCCCTCACACCTTCCTCTGTTCTGAATGTAGCCTGGGCTCACAGGGCGTGGCTGTATTTCATCTGAGTCCCCTGAGTTCTCTCCTCACCCCCACACCCACACAGGGATTCCTGTGTTACAGGTTCATCTAACCACTTCCAGAGCCTTCATTTAATTACCGGCCTTTCCTTCTCCTAATCACCCTGCCTGTGTTTGTGAACAAAGCACTGACTCCCTGCCCCAGGACACAAGCTGAGAGAAACACCTCTCTGTAGAACTCACAATCCACTGAAGATCTCTGCCCGGGAGCACACCCCCTGTATGAAACTCGGGAGGGGGGGGGCAGCCTCCCCGCCCTACCTAATTGGGGCCCTTGGACAGAGAGCGTCTAATGAACCCCCTGAAATAGCCTGTGTGTTAACCTCATCTCCCGCTGCCCATAGGAGGTGCACAAAGACGGCACCTGCATCAGGGGAATTTATGGAGCTTTGGGGGAACCACTTCAAATGCTCCACAAAGTTAGAAGGGAAATGGGGGCCCCACATACATCCCCTGACATGGGCCTGGGAGACTCATGCCCCTCCCCAACCAAAGGTGGTTTTGCTAGGTCTCCCCCAAGCTCCAGCCCCCCAAAGTTCATTGGGAAGCACTGCAGCCCCCTCCCCTGTGAGCCCTGAACCCTCTGCACCATCATCCCTTAGGCGGGTCCCTCGCCCCTGAGGATCTAAAACCTCCCCACATTCAGAGCTAGGTGCAAATTCACCTCTTCAGCCAAATTTCCTGCACTAGCCCCCAACTCAACACAGTCACCCCCCGCTCAGCTACGGCCAGTGGGGATCATGAAACCGCCCGAGCCTGCTGGGACGGGAGAGAGGAATCACAGCTGTCTCCCTTACTCTTGGGAGGCGCTCAGATACCGGGGTGATGGGCACCAGTGTAAGCACCCCAGATAGACATGAGTGGGTCCGGTGATAGACCAGGGGTCTCAAACTGGGGTTGGGACCCCTCAGGCGGTCGTGAGGTTATTACATGGGGGGGTTGCGAGGTGTCAGTCTCTACCCCAAACCCTGCTTTGTATCCAGCATTTATAATGGTATTAAATATATATAAAAGTGTTTTTAATTTATAAGGGGGGGGTCGCACTCAGAGGCTTACTGTGTGAAAGGGGTCACCAGTACATAAGTTTGAGAACCACTGGGATAGACAGACTCGGCCATCCATGGGCTGTAATAGGATCAGCAGCCTCCACTCAACCTGAGCAGGAAAACGCCTGTGAGAGCCTGTAACCCGCTCTGGCACCGGGCGGCTCTCTGTCCCCCTCTTGTGGCTGGTTCACAGCAGGGGGAAAGAGCCTCCTACTGCTACCGGATCTCAACCCTCTGAGATCGGACGTGTTCAAAACCCAGATCCGGACCCACATCTGACAGCTGGCCCCTGGCTCTGTAATATCCCAGCCCCACCGCCGAAGGCGGCCTGGCCATGGGGCGCTGGACACCGGAATCTGAAATCTGGGAGGGTTTGGGTCTAGCGTCCCCTCCCCCGGCCGTACTCTGGCCCGGGAACAGCAGCGCCCCGGTTCCCGGGGGAACGTGTCACAAGGGCGGGGGAGGGGAACTGGCCTGGGGTCCCCGTGACGGGGCGTGTGGTCGATCTGGTCCTAAAGGTTCCTGTTCTCTCTCGTGGGCAGGGTCCGGCAGAGCAGAGGCAGGCGCGATGGAGCTGAGCCGGATTCTAGGGGACTCCGTCACTTTCCCTCTGGGGATCCCAGCAGAGCAAGTTACAGCTGCTACCTGGACAGTAAACACAACGAGGAGTATAGTAACTGTAGCAGCAGGAAACCCCCCCACAGTCATTGTGTTAGACCCATCCTACGAGGGACGCCTGAGAGTCCCCGAGAGCAACTCGCTTCAGATCACCAGCCTGAGGATGGAGGACACGGGCACCTACAGCGCTCAAATCCGCACAGCTACAGGCATCATCCACAGACCCTTCCCGCTGCGCGTGTACAGTAAGTGTGGGGCCGGTGAACCCCGGGGGAAGCTGGATCCCGCCCTGCTCAGGGACCTCCTCTGGGAGATCAAGGG